TTCTTATGACGGGGCCCTACTTGACACTTGTCTTCATGAAGAGATCACAGAATATATGAGTGGTACACCAAAGTGTAGTGAAGAAGTCAGATAGTGCCCAGCTATCAGAAAGAACCATATCTGAGGTCCTAAAGATTTGTCTTAAAATAAGCAGCCATCCATAAGTGAGGTAGAAGCAGCACACCAGCCTTTGTGATCCAAGGATTGTAAATAATAAAATCCAAGACCAGAAGAGGGATTTGCCATTAAAGCTTAAATTCTGAGCACCCAGTTTGCAGAAGGCTATGGGTGATAGTGAAAGCCCAAAATCCATTTGTAGAGTCCTCATGTGAATTAAGGTTCCTGTGAATGCCCTTTCACTATTGACCAGATGTGAATAGCCTTGCTATCAGACAGAGAGCAGTGGAAAGTGAATTAATAGAGACACACCAAAAAACCAAACTCAATGCCATCCAGGCAATGCTGACTCATAGCAACCCCCCTGGTGGGTTTCCAAGGCTGTAACTGTTTAAGAGAGCAGAAAGCCTACTCTTTCTACCATGGAGCTGTTTGGTGGTTTTGAACTGCTGACCATGCAGGACTGTAGCCCAACTCGTAACCACTGCGCCACTACCAGGGCACCTACTAATGGAGGTATAGTTAAAATTTAAAACCTTATCATTTGCTTTCCATTTTGATCAATTTTAAATTTGTTTTAGTTTTTCTTATGTTCTGCTTTCTTTTGGGATTGAGAGTTTTCTATGTTTTTGTTGTTGTTGCTGTTATCGGGTTACTGTTTGTTTTTTAATGAATTTCTTCATATGAAATCATGACAGGTAAATCTATAGAGCCAGTAACTAAATGTAGAATGTGATAAACCCTGACATATGGGTTTCTGAGACTGGAACTCTCCATGAAAGGTTCGTCTTCTTCTGCAGTGTGCACTCGTAGTTTTGCAGTTAATCTTGTAGTTAGCAGCCCAAATTATAGTCATCATGCCACCAGGGGCATATAGAAGTATGTAAAAAGTACTGCTATAGAAGGGTACATCAAAAAAATCTGAGGTGCCTTTAAAACACAAAAAAAGTCCAATAAAAACTGTGACTTTCCAGGAGATATGCCAGGTGAGTTAAATTCAAGGCAGAGAATCAAGTCAACCCAGCAGATTATGGCATTTATTTTTGAGAATTCTAACAGGGTAATCTTGATAGATTTACTCAATGGACACAGGATGATCGCAGGGGCATAACTAGGAAGAAAGTTTAAGAAAATTGGAAAGTGTACTGATGAGAAAAAGGTTGTTATTTAAGAAAAATACTTACCTTCATGTAATTCACAATCTTAGCAAGAACTCCAAATTTATATCCAGAGCTTCCTGAGAGAGCTTTCAAGTTAAATGATCCATTACTATGATCTGAAAATGAATTTTAAAACACAATTATATAGTGTATAAGATTAAGACACAAAAATCAGTATTACATCTATACACTAATAATAGATCATTTAAAAAAGAAAATATCAACTAAGAGAAAAAAAAATACCTAACACTAAATTTAACTAGGGAAGTAACTAAACTTGCACTTAAAACTATAAAGCATTCTTGAAGAAATTAAAGCAGTTCTAAATAAATGGAATTACTACCCATCTGTCAATGATGCTGAAATTTGGCAAGCAGTATTTCAAACACCAACTGGTCAACTATGGTGGGCAGGTTTAGCAAAGCTTCTAGAATATGAAAGATTAAGGAGAAAAACCTGCTGATATATTTCCAAATATTAGCAAATGAACACCCTATGACTCACAACAGAGTACTAGCCAATATAGTGCCAGAAGGCAGTCCTCCAGTTTAGAAGGCATTCAAAAGGAAGTAATGGCCACAACAATGGATTTAAGCATACCAGTAATCATGAAGCAGGGCAGGGCAGTGTTTCATTCTGTTGTACATGTGGTCACCAGGAGTCACAGCTGACTCAATAGCAATAACAACAACAAAATGGAAAAGCATCCCGTGATCATGGACTGCAAGATTTAATATTGTGACAATGTCACTACCACCTAAAATGATCTACAGAGTCAATGCAATCATAACCCATCAAATATCCAACTGTCTTTTTTACAGACGAGGGAAAGCCAATACTCAAATTCATGTGAAAGTATAATCGGTCCCAAATAGCCCCAAAAAATCTTGAAAAATTTAGACAATAGGACTCATACTTGTCAATTTCAAACAGTATAGATCAATGAAATAGAACTAAGAGTTCTTAAATAAGCCTTTATATCTAAGACCAATTGGTTTTGGACAAAACTACTAAGAACAGTCTCTTCAGTAAGTGGTGCTAGTATTACTAGTTCTCCACATGCACAAGAATAAGGCTGGACCAATACCTCACACCATAAACAAACATTACCACAAAATGAACCAGTGATATAAATATAAAAACTAAAATTTAAAACTCTTGTAAGAAACTATAGGGATAAAGTCACAAGACCAATTTTTATGATACTTAGATGAAAACTCAAAAGAACAATAACAAAAAATAGTAAACTGGATTTCATTTTTAAAGTTTTAAAAATGTATACCAAAAGAGTTTATCAACAAAGTGAAGAGAAAACTTATAGAGTGGGAGAAAATATATGGCAAACCAGGCATCTGGTAAGGACTTAATATCCAGGATGCCAGGTGATTCAAAAAGTTCATGGAAAATATAAATTGAAAGATAATGCAATTTTTCCACGAACCTTCTGAAGCCTCCTTATATGTAAAGAACCCCTATTAAGAACTCAGTCACACAAAAAACAAAAACAACCCAATTTTTAAAATGGGTAAAGGACTTCCATTTCCCAAAGATAATATACAAATGGTCAATAAGCACATAAAAAGATGCTCAAGGTCATTATTGTTGTTAGCTGCTATCAGGTAACATTGCATGTGTCAGAGCAGAACTGTATTCCATAGAATTTATAACATGTACTGCCTTGGAATTAAACTGTCAGGCCTGTCTTCTAAGGCACCTCTGAGTTGGTCCGAACTGCCAACCTTAAAGCTAGCGGTGGAACATAAGACCACTTGCACCAATAGCTATGGTCTACTTGTTAGTGGCTGATGAAATTGTAAATCATAACCATGTCATATGACCTCATACCAACACAATGGCTATTGTCAAAAAATTAGAAAATAACAAGTGTTGGAGAGGATGTAGAGAAACTGCACTGCTAGTAGAAATGTAAAATAGTATAGCTGCTAGGGAAAACCATTTAGAATGTTCCCAGAAAGTTAGAACCCATCAATTCTACTCCTGCATACACCCAGAGAACTGAAGCAGAAAGACATGCACAATGAGTACCACAGTATTTATTACTCATGATAGCCAAAGGTGAAAAAATTCAAGTGCCCGTCAACAAGTAAAAGAATCTACGAAATATGGTGTAATTCATATAAAAGAATATTATTCAGTCATTAAAAATCAAGTGAAATTGATATCCCTCACTGACCCATGGCCCTATAGGGGACAACACTGGAGACACAGTGTGGGAATTCTTCCCAATCTGACCCCACCACACCCGAGGCAAAACACTAAGGGCATGGAATAGAACAGTAAGGGGAACAGAGCAACAAAGTGCCCAGGGAAGACCAAAAATAGACTTTGGGGCCAGGGATTGGCGCCCCAATAGACTGGACTGGAAAACACTCCTAAAGGCCAACAAACAATCCTTGGATGAACTACAAGCTTTTCTTTCTTGTTGTGTTTTGTTTTGCTTTTTGTCATTGGTTTGTTGTTGTTGTTGTTTTGTTTTGTTGCTTGGTTTTGCTCTGTCTTGTTTTTGTGCATGTTATTATCTCCGCAGGTCTGTCTAAATAAGATAGGCTGGATAAACAATCTGGAGGAGAAAACAACAGGACCGACAGTTCCGGCGGGACATGGGAGAGAGGGAGGTGGGCGGAAAGGGTAGTGATGTTAACAAACCCAGGGACAAGGGAATAACATGTGATCCAAATCGGTGGTGAGGAGAGTGTAGGAGGCCTGGTAGGGCATGATCAAGGGTAATATAAACAAGAGAAATAACTAAAACCCAAATGAAGACTGAGCATGATGACTGAGCATGATAACAGGACAAGAGGAAAGTCAAAGGAAGTAAGAGGAATGAGCTAAGAGGCAAAGGGCATTTATAGAGGTCTAAATAAAGGCATGTACATATGTAAATATACTTATATATGAGAATGGGGAAATAGATCTATGTGCATATATTTACAGGTTTAGTACTAAGGTAGCAGAAGGACACTGGGCCTCCATTCAAGTACTCCCTCAATGCAAGAATACTTTGTTCTATTAAACTGGCATTCTATGATGCTCACCTTCCCGATGTGATCGCTGAAGACAAAGCACATGCATAAACAAATGTGGTGAAAAAGCTGATGGTGCCTGGCTCTCAAAAGATATAGTGTCTGGGGTCTTAAATGTTTGAAGGTAAACAAGCAGCCATCTAGCTCAGAAGCAACAAAGCCCACATGGAAGACGCACACCAACCTGCATAACCATGAGGTGCTGAAAGGATCAGTTATCAGGCATCAAAGAACAAAAAAACATATCACACTGTGTGCTCACCTCCCTGATAAGATCGCTGAAGACAAATGGGTGCATAAGCAAATGTGGCGAAGAAAGCTGAAGGTGCCTGGCTATCAAAAGATATAGCGTCTGGGGTCTTAAAAGACTGAAGGCAAACAAGCAGCCACCTAGCTGAGAAGCAACAAAGCCCACATGGAAGAAGCACACCAGCCTGTGTGATTACAAGGAGTCGAAGGGAACAGATATCAGGCATCATCAGAACAAAACAATCATTTCATTGTGAATGAGGGGGAGTGCGGAGTGGAGACCCAATGGCCATCTATAGGCAATTGGACATCCCCTTAAGGAAGGGTTGCAGGGAAGAGACGAGCCAGTCAGGGTGCAATGTAGCAACGATGAAACATTCAACTTTCCTCTAGTTCCTAAATGCTTCCTCCCCCACCACCCCACACTATCAAGATTCCAATTCTACCTTACAAATCTGGCTAGACCAGAAGATGTACACTGGTACAGATAGGAACTGGAAACACAGGGAATCCAGGGCGGATGATCCCTTCAGGACCAGTGGTGCCAGTGGTGATACTGGGAGGGTGGAGGGAGAGTGGGTTGGAAACGGGGAACCAAGTACAAGGATCTACATAAAACCTCCTCCCTGGGGGACAGACAACAGAAAAGTGGGTGAAGGGAGACATCGGACAGTGCAAGATATGACAAAATAATAATTTCTAAATTATCAAGGGTTCATGAGGGACGGAAGGGGAAAGGGAGGGGGGAAAATGAAGAGCTGATGCCAGGGGCTAAAGTGGAGAGCAAATGTTTTAAGAATGATGAGGGCAATGAATGTACAAATGTGCTTTACACAATTGATGTACGTATGGATTGTGATAAGAGTTGTATGACCCCTAATAAAATGATTAAAAAAAGAATTATAGGGCTCAATATTAAAATGAATGTCTAGAAAATAATGATGGCAACATATGTATAAAAGTACTTGATATAACTGATGTAAGGATTGTTACAAGAACTGTAAGAGCCCTCAATAAAATATATTTTTAAAAGAGTTGTATAAGCCCCTAATAAAATGATTAAAAATAAAAAATAAATAAATTCGGTTCTTTCCAAGAAATCTAGAACACCAATTTGAAAGGAGAAATTCCAATTGTGAGTGCGAAGGAAGCTCGCAAGTAGCCCCGGAGCAGGTGAATAGCTTTGATTTTTGCCAAAATTTGGAGTTCCAAGGCTTTCTGATCAACCTTGTGCTGATCTGTGATCTCATATTTCTCTTTCTCTGTGTCAAAGATCTTGCCTTCGTGGTGTCTGGGCTTCTGCAGCTTCTTCTTCTTGAAGTAGGTGTCCATGAGGTGCTTGAGGATTTTCACACCATTCATATTAATTTTGGTGGAGGTGGCGATGACAAATTTCTGGAACTCGATTAAAGGACAGAGGTCCAGTCACATGCAGCAAGTCACTGTCCAGCTGCTTCAGGAAAACCACTCCTGACTTGGTGGAGTCCTGTGAGGATGATCCTAACAGTCCCGGGGTGATGCTGGCATGCAGTCACCTGACATGATGACTGAAGGGCTTTTTGCCATGGCTCAACAGCTTCCAAGGCACGTCTTCAGTAGGCTAATACCAAGGCATTTGCACAGATTCACCACTCGCCATTCTGGCCTCCACCAACTGGCTTTGTGCCAGGAGCCAGTACTTTCTCTTTCTTCTTCTCAACGTTGGATTTGGCTGCTGAATACTTCCTCTTGTACATGACCTTTCTGGATTACGTGGAGGAACTGGAATACCAGCCAATTTCCTCTGACTAGGACAGGTTTGGGCTGCAGTGGTGCTTTCCTTT